AACTACACATATTCATCTGACTAGCTTAAATAAACATTTTTCTGAATTAACCTTTAGTATTGTGTATACAAAAAAAAACAAATAAAGTACAATTTAGTATTGTTTTTCTTCTTCTTGCTAGCCATTGGCTAGCAAATAAACAAAGTACTTTTTTATTTTACAGAGTACCATCGGGGTATTTTGTTTTTCCGAGCAAAGTGCAAAACACGGTACTTTTTCAAAATCGTAAGTACCACGGGTACTTTGCTTTTGCTTGTGGTACTTAATATTAAAAACACTGCTTCAGAGATATGCATTTGAAAACGGAAACGACAGCATACCGGTTAAAATATACGACCAATGCAATGAATTGAACGGAAAAAAGAAATTGTCAAAGAAATTCCCTTTGGTCCCTGTCGCTAATTAATTAAAAAAGTTGCTTTTTTTTTTTTTTATTGAGATTTGAACCTGAAGTCGAAAGAATGCTACGGATGCGAACGAAAATAAAAGGAAAAAAATGATTATGGAAAAATTATCGAAACAACTATTTAAAAGGATGCAAAGTGCATAAAGATAGTTTCACATAGATTAAGTAAAAATTAGGAAAAAAAATTTAAACGGAATTTAAGAAAAATAGTTATTACGAACATCATAAAACAATTGTATGAATGCTTTTAGTGCGTGTTCTAATAGTATTTTTACACAATCAGTGTAACTTTGCTGTATTGTAAATTTCCTTTGTACTGTTTCGTTTTCACTTTTGCAGTTGTTTTGAGCTTTAGGCTCAAGTCGCAATAAAATAGAAGAAAAAAAATCTAATCAACTGATTAGCGATATGGCACAAGGGAGATAATTGATTTGGGGGCTCCCGAAATCATTTGACGAACCAATGAGAAAATTTCTAAAATGTATTAATGCATTTTGTCGTACACTCGTAGTGGCCGTTGACACACATTCCCAGGTCGAGACGAACAACGAATAATCGCGTGCGGAACGTACGAATGGATAAAAAAGCATTCCGCATACGTTCTCTGCGTTCGATGGCTCTCATTTTAAAGTTATTAACAATTTCATAAAAGCAATGCTGTATGAAATAATTTTTTTTATAGTAAATCTAGTTTAGAAATAATCCATTGTGATTTTTAGATGAATTCGATGACTACTTTGACCTAGATTTTTGTAAATTTTTTTTAAATGAAATCCGTATACTTTCAATGAAAAGTATTATTTCTATTTTCACTTCGTTAAAACCTATTCAAGCAATTCCATCAGAAATAAAACTGTGTACTGTGACAAGAATAGCTCCTTATGTACCATCAACAAATGAACGAACGAACGAACGAGCAGTGGTCTATATCTTTTCGTTATGATAGGCAGCGTTCCGACTGAGAATTCGAAATATAGTGAGATTTCGCACTCGATTTCAGAAAATGAAATGAGATGGTGCACTCCGTTTCAAGAAGCAAAGTGCAAATGTATAAATGTATCTAGAAAAAATCAATAGTAGTTTATATTTCATACTCTAGACTTCTATGTGTAGCTATATATGCATATGATAATAATCAAAAGCAATGTGTAAATCATTATTAAGCCACAAGATTAACAAAAAACTCAATCAACAATGAAGGTAAATTAAAAATATAAAACAGTGAAAAATTCTAAAATAGAGTGCAAATCAAAAAAAGTGCGTGAAGCACTCACTTTGATTTTGTTCGATGCAACTCATCATTCAGAACGCTGATGATAGGACAAATGATTGAATCATTGTCATTGGTTGATCTTTCAACAGTAAAAAAAAATTAAAAAAATAGTTTTCTTGGAAAATAAATCATTTTTTTTTATTAATAAAAATCTGTTGACTATTTGAAAAATTAGAAACGAAGAAAAAATCTTATTGATAACATAAATCAAAAAAGGATCATGGTAAAATATGGAACTGAATGGAGGTACAGAAGTTATTTTTTAAATTGAATCATGAATTTTTCGGAAATAATAGTATTAAAATTGTATAAAAATATTCTAGATAATTAAAATTCATTAATCGTCAACGATGAGCACGGGTACAAAAATTGTGAAAAGTGGCAGTGAACCGCCAACAGCACTTGAACTCGATGTTTCACAGGTTCGATTTTTTTACTAATTATTCTTATTAATACAATCGACATCTTTTAGCAATTTACTGAACTCGAAGGCAATGCACAATTCAAAGGTCAACTACGTGAGCTTTATATAACTGGAGCTAAGGTTTGCATGAGAAAAATATCGATTATTAAAAATTACAAACTTTTTTCTTTTTTATTCCAGAAAGTTGAATTAAGTGACGGACGATCAGCTTTAGTCATTTATATTCCAGTACCGAAAGTAAAAAATTTCCAACGAGTTCATTCGTTACTTGTTTCTGAACTTGAAAAGAAATATAATCAAACTGTTGTTCTCCTTGGACAAGTAACTTATTTTTATTGTAAGAAAAAACTTAAAAGGCTAAATCTTTTTTTTAAGCGTCGAATTTTACCAAAGCCAAATCGAAAATCCAAGACACAGTCGAAACAAAAACGACCAAGAAAGTTTGTGATTATTCGTTTTCTTTTAATTTAAAAAATTGAACTATTCTATTTAGTCGTACGTTAACTGCAGTACATGATGCTATTTTACACGATCTCGTCTATCCTGCTGAAATAACCGGAAAACGTATTCGTATTAAATTAGATGGATCACGTCTGTTTAAAGTTCACCTTGATAAAAATCAACAAACACTTGTCGAAAACAAGGTTAGTTCAATGGTGTCCGTTTTTAATTAAGAAAAATAATTTTCCTTCTCTTAGGTTCCCGCTTTTCAATCGATCTATAAGAAACTTACTGGAAAAGATGTTCATTTCGAATTTCCAGAAGTGCTCGTCTGAAAAGGCAAACAAAAGAATAAAAATTTTGTAATGAAACAACAATTTACAATGATTGTCGTTTTGTTTTGTTGTCCATCATCTATTTATTGATAAACATCAACAATAAAAAATATATCGGGAAATTTATATTTCCATGTTAGGACAGCATTTTATTTTCTGTTGAAGTTTTTAATATCAAACGACCAACTGAAAATCTAACTATTTTCTATGATATTCATTATTATTTAATTGGTATTGTTATTTTTCAATTGAGCATACTAACAAACATAAAATCTAGATGTCAACGAAAATAGTACGTTTGATAACCTTGATTCCACAGTTTTCAATAGTTTTTCAGGGTTGTAGCACATGAGCATTTCAGATAATATCTTACTGTTTGTCTTTTTAGCAGAAAACAAAGAGATAACGATGAAATCATTGATTTTCTTTAAGATAAATTATGTTCATATAAATATCATTTAGAAACAAATGAAATTGGTATCATGCTTGTTGTGCCACAGATCACTATGTCAATGTTAAAAAATTTAGAAAAAAGATTCGATATTTGTTTTAAGTAGAAGATCTTATTAATAACCTTTTCCATGGATAAATTTATTTCGATCAAAAAATTAATTCGATTTCTAATTTCTAGCTTAAACAGGAAGCTCTAGATCCGTACATAGAACTCTATTAGTTTCGAGTATCTCATTAATTTAGTAAGATTCATTAAGCATTCAACATATTCTCATCAAGATTTAATCTGCCTCAACATGAATAAATATGAAATAATTTAATTCATGATCAATACGATGATGTCAAAGAAGATGTTCTTGTTACACGTGTTTATCTTTATCGTAGTATTCATAAACATTCTATTGTAAATTATTTTATAATCTGTGTATTTCTAATATCGAATTCCAAAAAATTGATTAGTAGATAATTGAAATCCGAGTTAAGTGATTTTGCTATGATCTTCAATGAATATGTGGCAGGCAAGTTTGGAATTCAGTTGAGTTTGGAATAGTATTTTTCTTAATTTTTTTAATAGAATTTTTGTTGAGATCTGATTTGAGAAATTTTTATATTTAGAATTATTCCTTGCATCTTTCTACAATGAGTTTTTAAATAATTCAACTTTCTCTGTATTTTTTAAACTCTGGGGACATGGGACATTGAATTTATCTGAGAAATATTTCTTCTCTATTCTGTTTTTCTATAATCTATTGCCACGAGCAGAAAAAAAATGTTTTTTCGATTAATTATTTTTTTCGCGCATTCCAATCTCAACTGAAATTCTCATGTCAACTGTGACAAATGTTTGAAACATTTTTCATCCTTTTTCTTTTTTTGAACAATACAATAGTAGATAGCATTGAATTTTTGTTTTGTTTGAGATATTTTAACTAAGAAATATTTATTGGAATGAAATTAAAACATCAAAATCGAAGAATTTTTGAACTTACTATTATAATATTTTCGATAAATATCTTTTTGATGTTGAACTCAGTAAGAAACTTTACAGCTAATATGATAATATTTCGTGCTAAAAATTGTAATCTACGCATATAAACTTCCCGATTTAGAAAGTTCACATTATAAATAGTAATGGCGGGACAAAGTAAGACATAACATACTTGTGATACAAACTAAAAAGGCTTTTATTATGTTTTTCATGTATAAATTTTTATCTTTTGAAGAGAAGTTTTTTTTTACAAAATTGAGCGAGGAATAATTCTTGTAACGAAAGTTTTCTGAATGAACTAGTTCAAATGATGATTGAATTCTTGAGTTGAAACTTTTCGATAAAGATCGATCTAATTGATTTAAACTTCGATTAACAAAGTAAAATATCTGAACATTTAAGTATAATATCATATATGAATCTTATTGATTTAATATATTGAATCAAGTTTTAAAGACAAATTCCAGAAAACTTCGTCGGTGTTAGATGTTTGAAATATGTTCATTTATTTCCGACAGAAAAAATCGAGGCTGTGACAAAAAGAAAAGCAAACAAAAAAAATGTAAAGATCATCAGAAGGGCAAATATGATTTGTACATAAATAATCACGCCAATATTTAATTCAATCGAATTCAAGTTGATGAAATCCTCCAGGAGGAGCCGATGTAGATGAACCATTATTATCTCCATTATTTCGACGATTATTATTTGATGAAGATGATGAAGTTTGTTGTTGATTCGATTGCAGATTAAAATATTCGCGATTTGTTGTATTGTCACCATCTAATGTAACGCGACATGTTGGGCATGTTCCATGCTAAAATAAATCAAATATGTTTTAAAAATAAAAAATAAAAACTGATTAATAAATACAAGTCTAAGCCAACGTGATATACATTCTTCATGAAAATGATGTGAACAAGGAAGACGTTTAGCTTCGTCATTTTCCTTAAAATCATCCATGCAAATAGCACACTGTAAATTATCATCTATAACATCATGTATTACATTTAATATTATTCTAGAATCAAATAAGAATACATACTAGCTTGCTCAGCAGTCACTTTTATTGTGGGAACCGCATTTATACGAGTTTCAGGCGCTGGCGCTGGACCACTATGTTCTCCCATTTGATTTAAAAACTATGAAAATAAATATTATAAAGCTATCAACAATAAATCAATACACAAGATTACTTGAGTGAGAAAAGCATCAAGATTTGTTGGGTCGAGATAAGTTGCACCACCACCGCCGCCACCATTGTGCATGACACTAAATAATAAAATTATTTCTCTAGATAAATAAAAACGACATACATACAAAGGAAACTGTGGACCACCACCGCCACCACCAAGTCCACCGGCAATTTGTGTTAAAATTGTTTGAAGAAAATTTCCTAAATCTCCATTTCCATTTGTATTATTACCATCATTTGCTGATGGTCCATTACCGATAACTATTGTTGCATTACCAAATGGTGCTCCACCATGAACCTGAAACGTTCCACCTGTACGCCTTTGACCACTCCGAGATTGGCTAAATTTCAAGTTGACATGTTTTTTAATTTACGTAATCAAAATAATAAACATACGATGCTGGTTCAGGAGCTGGGGCTTCTTCAATAAAACTCTCGTGACAACGAGGACATTCGAAATCCTAAAGAAATTTTTTTTAAATTTTCAATGAGATTCTTCATCACTAATATGTACAGAAATTAAGAAGTATAGCGGAGAACATCTTTAAAAATATATTTCTATCGAGCTAACCTATTTACGAATATTTGTTCTAAAAATCTGCTAGATGTGTGTCTTATTCATGATTTTAAACATTTTCTAATTTATTCAAGAAAATGTATTCATCTTTTAATGTTTGTCTTTTCAATCATCAACGGAAACATCAACAATTGGTCTTTTTACTCAAAAATATTAAAAACGAACACAGTAGTAGTACATTTATCTTTGTCATGTTGTTTTCGTAATAGACAATTTCTTTTGATATAATTTTTATGTTTTTCCAATTTAGAAAAATGAATGCTATTCTCAATATGTTTAACTCTTGTACTAAAATTCCAATTTTTCTGTAACAATTAGTAAACTATTTTATCAACGAAATCCTACAAAATCAATCAAATTTTGAATTATTCTATGGAAATATTGAAGATTTAGTTATTGAAACTAATTGCTTCCAAATATGTCATATACAAAAATAAGAAACAGTATATCGATAAAGCTTTTTACGGTTAGTTTAGATTGAAATAGTACTTTAAAATGTTTTCTAAATCAAATACTTTACCGTGACATATCCAATGTGAGCTTGACATTTATGACAATAATAATTAGGCCTTGTGGCCATTTCTATGTGATAAATTCTATTGAGTTTCTGGTCAACACCGGATTCGGATAAAAATCTTGAATAATTTTAAAAATTAAATTCGAAGTTGTTCTCTAAAATGAAAAAATTTATTTTAATTCTATGTCATCAATAGAATAACGAAAAATACAAGAGTGTCATAAAAAAGATAGTGTCCATTGAATAGGAGAAGAAGTTCGTCGATAAAAATATAAAAAAAACAAGGAGAGACTTTGTGAAATTCGCAATGGTAGTGAAAACAAAACATCAATGGTCAATCCATTAACCAATCACTTGTCGATTTTTCCTACACACAGACACACTGACAAAGAGAGACTGAATTTGAGCTAAATTTACGACAAAAAAACAGCTAATCTTGTACATACAGTTTTCTGAACTTATCTAAGAAATATGGTAGATAAAAATGCCCAGATACGAGCGACACTTAATGCAAAATTGATTGAAAGCGGTGAACGAGAACAGTACGAAAAAATTTCCTAAACTTAATCCTTAATCATTGATTGTAAATTATAAAATACATAGAATGAAACAACTTTTAAGACAACGCTTAATGGAATACGAATGGAGAGATCAAATGAAAGCCTATTGTAAAGGTATTATTAAACAAGAGTTTTTTTTTATTTTCAATATTTGTATTTATTTACTGCTTTGATAGATATTGTTAAACAAAAAGATCTTGAAAATATAACTGTCGATCAACTTATACAAGAAATAACACCAAAAGGCCGTGGTAAAGAGTTATTTTTCTTTTCTATTTTAAAAATCATTTTTATGATTTAGCACTTGTACCAGATTCAATCAAAAAAGAAATGTTGAATCGTCTTCAGCAATATTTAGTGAAACAAGAAAAACTTTGATTGATTAGATTTGTATATATTTTTCTTTAAATAACACAAGAAAAAATGATTATTTAATTAATAAGACAAACATTCCTTTCAGAAAATTATTCAATTGTATAAGTTTATTAATTTTATACATCTTTTCAATGAAATTCAATGAATCAAAATCAGTATTTCTCTTACGTTAGGCAAACAATATAATTATGAGATTTGTATTATCGATGTCAACAAATACTTACTGTTTGGCATAATTAAAAATAATATTCCTTGGTTCTCATTCGTTTTCGGATAAAACAAAGAAATTCCTTCTTGATCAAAAAATAAAAACAAAATATTCAATTGTCATACAACTTTGACACTGAAACATTTCACTACTGCATGGTATCTCATTCAATAGTTTTATTGTATGTGTTCAATATTCAACGAGGCAAAAACAACATTGATGGTTTGATTTGTGGACTCGTTTTGAATGAGATCCGGATCAGTTAACTAATTGCTCGTTCCTACTGGGAATGCTTGAAAAGTTTAGTTAAGAAGGAAATATCTAATTTCTGGATTGTTCTCATAAAATAAAGAATTCTATGCCTGTTTCTTATTTATGGATTGCTTGATTCTTTTCATCAATTTTTATAGAATTGAATCATAGTTTTCTCTATGATTTTTCTGGTGACAATAATCACACAATCATTATTTTGAAATCGACCATTTGCATTTGAAAATACAGAAAAAAGATATAATATAGTAAATAAACAATATTTCAGATCGGATTTTGATCATAACTAAATTTATCACATTTATATCAATCATCTAATTTTCATTGGCTTTTCTTTTCAAATTTTCTTGATTAAAAACTTTATTATTATTTTTATATTATTGATAGATATCTAGCTATCCCAAATACCATATTCTTTAACATAAACATGACTTTTTATTCAAAAACAAAGTATGCTATGAATAATTTTTGTTTTTTTTAAACAGGAATCGAAACCTCTGAATGCTTCACTTCTCTATGAAACTTATGAGAATGTTTTGAAATTAAATATAAAATACTTTATTTTTCCTCTAATAAATGCAATATTCTTTTTTAATTTTCTGCAACATAGCTTTTTACTTATACTAATGCTCATGTTTCATGCCTATTGAATTCAAAGTCAATGGATTTTCAATAAATTTTATTTTGAATATTATTAAATGAAGATAAATATGTGACAATACTATATGATAAAAAATGAAGTTTCACTAAATAAAGTCTCCTTTGATTTGTATTCTAAGTGTTATCATTTAGATAATATAAATGCATATATATATATATATATATGTCGAGAATAAACATTCAAGTTTGTTTATCAACATTTTGGCAATATTTAACCTTTAGGTGCTTTGGTTTTTGGTGCACATAATTTTTGTACTGTTGCTTTGAGTGTATCAGCATCTGTCGAACTTAATTTTGCTACGTTACCATCATCTAGAAGATTTGGTTCCGTAAATTTGATTCCTTTCTTTTGAACACCAGTAATAAAACAGTTAGCATCAGGAAGTGTTTTCCATGTACGTGATACCATGCATAATCTATTGCATAAAACTCCTCCTTTTGGATCTTGTAAATCAAAACGAATTCCATGTCCGACCACCAGTGGCATTTCTGACGATAATACAAATTCAGTTGGAGTTTTTAATTCTTTATATGATTCAGTAACATGAACTTTAACTTTACAAGCTTTGGCCACTGTACCAATTGATTTTAAAATTGGCACGAATAATTTATGTGCCATAATTTTTTCACCACTAAAATCTTTGCCACCTTTGAAAAGTGATACTTCACATTTTTCCTTGTGGCTAAGAAAGAAACCATTGGTATCGGCAATTAAAAATATTCCAGCTACGATACACAAGACGGTCGCGAACTTCATCACTGTATTTATGTACGAGTTATAGAAGAACAATCTAAATATCGAATGCTTCTGTTATATGTGGTTACGATTCTCTATATAGATATTTCTCTTTTCTTTTTTTCTTCTCCATCTCTTGGGTTACTATTAGAATATAGAAGCAGACATGTTATTCTAAGAGAATAAGCAACATCTCGGAAATCATTAGGCGAGGTTAGACAAATGTATAACGAAGATAATGATTGATAATACCATATGTCACGTAGGAACCAATCATTACAAGAACGTAAAAATATACATATTTCTTCGGGGTAAAATGGATACAAAAGATAAGAAAAAAAATACATACTTTCACCCGTCTTATATTTTTCTGTCATCAAGGAGTAGAGTAGATTATCTTTAAAATAAAATATTACCGATTTGAATTCACAAGTATTCAAATTGTAAAAATTACAAACTCTGAGTATTAGAAATTTCGATGTAGTATCAGAAGAGACAAACTAATTTACTAAATAAATAAATAAAAATCTAACAACAATTTTTCTAGTTAATAAATTTTCAAATAGAAATTCATTTGTCTCAACAATCTGTCACAGATATTGCTGACTTTTATCTAAATTTAGAATTCATTGAATGCAAAATTTCTTCTGTTCGGTCAACTCTGATTCTGATATATCAAAATGTCACTGCCATACTAATTGACATTTACGATAAGATTCTGTTCACTGCGTTAAATACCAAAATAAGCAACTTCTATACTATTGTAGTTAGAATTTACAGTCAAAATCTTAGATTTATAGAATGCTTTAGAAGAGTCTCGAAACAATTTTCACATATTATTTTTTTAGAAAATATATGTGAGCTCTACAAAAACGTTAAAATATCCTGGATGTAATTTATTTATGTCTAAACTCAGAAGAAAACAAAGATATTGATCAGTCGATAATACTAATTCAGGTCATTATGAATAACAATAACATTCAATAGCCAGTCACTACAATAATCTATATTCGATTGATTTCTATGGTTTGTTTCTGCCCTAAATATTGGTTATTTTCAGTATTATTAATTGTCATTTTACATCTAGGAAACTTGATAGAATTTTATTTGTTATATTCTTGAGAAAAATTAAACTAATTTCATGGATGCAAAAAGACTAATTGTTGTTAGATAAAAGTTACGAATCAGTATAATTGATATTCATATTCAAATATGCAACAATTGTACGGACATTAGACTAAACATAAATAAATGATAGTATGTATATGTATATATATATTTACAGTTGAGAAAAAACTGCTTTCTGGCAATATCGATGAAAACAAAAACTTCTACTTAATAATTATTCATGAGGTTATCTTCGATAGATAGTAGAGCCACAACCCATAAAGTACTAGTAAACACATCATTATTTATGTTTCGTAGGAAAGATAATAATCAGATTTTGTATTAAAAATACTGTTTTTCACATGTGAAGATGAACTGTGAACTTTTATATCTGTTAGAAGAATACTTAGTTTTTTATTTTGAAAATATCATTTTATTAAATAATAATAAAACATAGATAATGAGATAATTCATCTAAAGTAGTGAATGATCACCACAAACAATATTTTATCTAGAAATACCTACGTTTAATACTATAATATTAGTCAATTATATCTACTAGTTAAAATAATTCGTTCTCTCATTTATAGCCAATTATAAAATATGAGCAATAAGCTGATAGGAATCAATAATTTAGTTTACACAACGAAATCTTCATAGATAAGTATCGACATACGAAATATATAGTATGTCTGTGATGAATATTCGATCGTTATTCTACGGTATTCAATTTTTTGTTTTCATTTATTTTTTTCAACGATAGATTGTATAAATCAGTGTATCAAGAAAAGAGAGAAGAAAAATTGATGTCGATTTGTCACTGCAAGATATCGCTGTCTAAGGTGATAAGTGGACTCTCTATTTGTTTTCGATGTCATCATATGTTTGAGTCATGCAGCTGATAAAACCTTTCATACACATTATATTGTTTCTTCTCTCGGCTACAATCGTTGAATTGACTTCTTCTAAAATTTGGTTTCAAGGATTTGTTAAAAATGTTGCTTCTAAATTTCATAAAAATTGGCGTCAACATTTTTTCAGTGAAGAAAATCCATTTATTAAAAATTGTTTTAAATTAACGAACAATGGAACTCATTATAATTCCTCTGATTTTATTTATCCAATGATTCTTGGTGTTGGCTCATGTCTTGTTCATCGAAGTCTTAAAGTAGCACATGCATGTTACAACTCTTCAATAGCTTACGTTGATCTGTTAAATATGGATTATGATGAATTACCTGGCGATTGGTCGTATGAAAATCGAGCTACAGCATAAATTACTTGTAGAGAAGTGCTACGAGGTGTTCGTCAAAAACGTTTACTTAATCGAAACTTTGTTGAGACAACATCAGAAAAAATTCACAATGCATGGATAAAACGTAATGCAAATCGACCGTCAAAAGAATTAATTTTACCCTATTCGCATCTATCCGAAATAGAAAAAGACAAAGATCGAAGAGCTTTACTAATAGCTTGTCGTTTATTCCATGAACTTCAATTGTATCGTTATTTGAGAACGAATCCAATTCATTTAAACGAACCTTACATACAAAAGAAACGTGCAAAATCATTCAGGATATTAAATTGTATATTAATATCAAATTGAGATTATTAAAAAATAAGAAAACTAATGATCAAAATTAACGAGAAAATGTGTCAAAATAAAAATATTTCTTATTGAGTATAATAAATTCAAGTGTAACAAATTTGAAAAACAATTTTATGCTAAAATAAGAAAAATATTCTTTCAAAAACAGTTTCTTTTTCAACTAATGCGTATTTGTTTTTTTAAATTCTCTTATTCTTGAAAGAAAACAACATTTATTCTATTGTTTCAAAAGTAATTATTTCAATGAGAAATGTTCTACGAGAAAAAGACCTTTCGGAAGAGTCTCAGTTCAGAAATAAATTATGTAACCAAAATATAACTTATTCATGTAGAATTTATAGTGAGTATAAATCAAAATAGACTTTCTATTAAATCTAATACTGATAAATAGACTATTTGATGGACAAAAAAGAATATAACAGCAATAAGAAAAAGCTTATTGATCATTTATGTTTTGTTTGCATAAATATAGTTCATTTGTCTATAGATTAGTAGAATAAGTTCGTTTTTCATTAGAAGCTATAACGAACGCATATTTTAATAATAATAATGATGATGATAAGTATAACTATCGTTTATCATTGATACTGTCGCTAGTTGTCTGTAGTCTTGTTGATAGATTGTATTTACAAAATTTCAGCTTTTCTTTATCTACATTCTAAATACTATAGCTGATCAAAATTAATCTAAAGCAATTTAAAAAGAAGTCAACTTGATATTTACCATTAGAATGACCGAAGATGATCAATTTTCATCATGTGAAAATGAAAAGTCAATTTTCGATGTTAGAAAATTTTGTTAGAAATCCAAATAAAACTAATCTATACATCACAATTTAGAAACTATATTATAATTTATTTTACCGTTCAATAAAATAAAACTAATTGTTATGATCCGAGAAACAAACTATAAAACTCGATCTTTTTGTTTGACATATTAATTTCAATGATACCAGGAAAACACATCATCTGTTTCTATTCGAGCTTTTCACAATAATGAAAACTTTTCTTTTTTAAACTATTTTCGTATCTTATATTCATTTTAAGAAATTTCTATCACATAAATATGATATTCCAATGCTTGTTTTTATTTGTTGGCAACAATAGCGACGTGGAAATTTTTTCATAATCTCCATTTATAATATAAAGTTATTTCAATTTAAAATAAGAAACTGATCAAATTATTAGTCAGTCTAACAAGAAAAAAATCAAAACAAATAACAACGAACTAAATTTGGTTTTCATCAGTCAAAAAGGATGATTCGCGGTCTTTTCCTATGGGTCAAGATCTAAAAAGAGTGTTGAAATATGCAGAATATAAATTTGAATCGATAGACATGTCCTCCCCTCTACACTCCTTGAAAACACATGACAGATACCTTCTAAAGATCATCACAGATCGTAATAGAAACTCTCTAGAAAGTATTTAATCCAATATAGTTTTTCTCGATATTTATCTTTGCTTATCAATAATGTATCATTATTTTTGTCAGGACTTGTCAAAAATCTCGGATTCGAATTCTCTAGAAATCATTATCTTAGAGCCAATAATTTATGATATAGAGTTATATTGTCTGTGACAAATTATATTCGAATGAATTTGTTCAAAAATAAAAATAAATTTCTTACAGAGATGTCATAATATCCTAACACTGGGTATCGTCGACATACCAGTCACGATATCCATTCAAGTGGATATCTAAAATGGATACTAAATGAATACCCATGTTCC